GGGGGGGGGGGGGGGGGGGGGGGGGGGGGGGGGGGGGGGGGGGGGGTGGCTGGGGGGGGGGTGGTGGGGGGGGGGGGCGTCCAAACTTCTGCCCTTAACACTTCAACACTCTCTTTCAGATCGTGTTTCACAAAAGTCTGAACAATATCAAGTTTAGAAACTTATATTACCTGGTTCAGTAGTTTTAAATCGTTTACATAAAGTACAAGTAACGCTCATCCTTTGGATTCGCTGACCCTTTTCTGAAACAATTATAATAGTGCTCACTAAGCCGCAAGGTAGATATAGATCTAACCGAGCTACATCCCAGCACACTTTGTACATAAAAACGTTTTAATAATCTTTTGCAAATTTTCATCGACTCAAAGTATTTTTTATTCTCCTGTATTAGGACAAGCAAAGTCAGAGAACGTTTTTAAAAAAATTTGGATCGATTCCTCTACAACTCTCAAAAATCCATTTAGTTACTCGTTTTGTAGCTCTCTTGAACCTCCAGAACAAACGCCTAGTCGTATACATGGCTTTCAGCATAGTGTCGTTCTTCTCTTCGTTTCCAGGATCTTAAAAACTGTCGGATTCGTTCTTGTGATTTATCGACTGAATTCCTTCGAAGAAACGTGAAAAGTACATGAAAGTCATTTAAATTCAGGCTTTGAAGTATCATTCCCTAAAATCAGCGTCTAGTCACTCGTCGGCCTCCCTCCGGTCGGCCACTCGCGGCTAGCCGCACATATGCATACTTGCATGCTTCTAGTCTTTTATCTGTTTTTGATTCACTCTTTAAAAAAATCACTGATATTGTTTCTGTGACTCTTCGAAAAACATTCGAAGTGGAGTCAGGTATCTTATCATCTGCTGGACTTGAATGATACTTGTCTAGTATAGCCTTTTAATTGTTTTTTTTTACAAATTAATCTCTGTAACAATCCAACAGCAGAATTCTAGTCATCCACTTCGCTTTCATCTGCGTATATCTGTTAAAAATTCTTTCAAAAGTTCTGATGTGTAGTTATTGACAACACAAAAACTTTGAAAAAAACCTGATATCAGACTCTTATACCTCCTTCAGATGGCTTGTGCCACGGTTTTAATAAAACGCTTAATGTATCTTATCTTTACAACTCGACAATTGATTTATTGGCACACAAATTACAGACAATGTTCAGCTCATCTTGTGCCGTTAAGGTTTAAAAAAGACATGCACGTACGAACGTCTTGCGTCTGCCTTATAAATCTGTTCAGATATATCTTAATTTTATCACTACGAAGTTAATCATTGACAGTAATTTTTAAAAATTATCTTCAGATTCGAGTTCCTCGAAACTAATAATCTCCAATCAAACTTTTTGCAGCAGACGTTTTTTTCTGAAACATTCTATTATCCAGAAAATTTTGTAAAATTAATGTCAGATTTGGGATCCTCAGCCACGATTACCCCTCGATCAACCATTGCTCGATCCTAATAGTAGTTAATGATTTCTTAATTAGTTATTTAGCTAATTAGTCATGACTAATCATTTAAAACCAATATCAGATTCGTGATCCTTGACCTCGATTACCCTTCGCTCAACCCTTACTCGACCTGATAGTAGTTCATGATTCCTTAATTAGCTAATTAGCTAATTAATTAATTAATTAGAAATTCGAGAAACTAACATCAGATTTGAGATCTTCGACCTCAATTACCCCCCGGTGGATTATCTCGAAATGACCATCATTAAGTTTTCAATAGTTTATAAAATGCTGCAATCTGATTGGCTTGGACAAACTCACAAACTCACAAACTTTTTTCATTTTACTCAGCGTATTTTCTACGCTATAACCCTTTCTTTCAGAAAAGGGAACAAGTAGGAAGATTACCTGTATCCAACGACATGTGATTATGTCGCTTTTTTAAGTTTATTTTCTTTATTATATCAGATGGATTTACTTGTCCTTTTTCTGAATAAACATTTTTAGGGTAGATTCTACACCCCTGCGAGGACAGAACAAAAAATAGACTGCATTTATAATTTTGTTGTATATTTGTGGAGAGCTTGACCAGTCTAAAATGCGAGAAGGAAGCAGGAAATAAAACAATATACAACTTATTAATGAGGTCAGTTAAAAAGAAAACGAAAATCAAGAGATAAAATCTTTCTTTGTATGAATAGATTTGAACGATAGTGTAAAGATTTAAATATTAGTTTATACATATAATATAGAGTATACGTGTCTGCTTCTAAATAAAAGGGGTTAACATTACAGGTTAAAAGGTAATTATGAACAAAACTGCTGAAGCGTGTTATGTTTCTGTCGTGCTGAACTCATTTTCGGATCCTCAGTTCTGAATTAATTGAGATTTCCACTTTTTTCTATTTCTGCTTACGAAAGAAAAAGACTGTTAGTACCCACAATTAATATATTGAATTTGTCGAATAAAGAATGAATGAACTATTATTTATCTAAAAAAACTAAAAATATCACACTAAGTTATTTCACGCATCTGATAACTATCAGTTTCAATTGGAAATAAATACTCATAAATTACCTCATGTTCATCATAGCAGTACAAGAAATAGAAAACTCTTTTTCAAATCAAAGCGTAATTCTTTGTAATGCAATTGAGTATAGGATGTATGTTAAGGAAAGAATACAATACTAATTATATTCTTATATCTGTAGATGTTGTACCTAATCAGCCCAAGTTTTGTCCAACAGCTATTTGGAATCGAAATGGATCTACATTTGCTAACGAAACAACACTTGGTTTTAAAACTCGGAGCATTTTCATTAATCCGATGAACTTCGTTTATTTCATTCATGAAGAGAAGAATGAACTTTTAATATGGGATAATAATAGTAGCAATCCAATAAAAAGGTTTCCTGGTAATTTTTCAAATCCAGCATCCATTTTTGTTACAAAGGATGGTAATATTTATATTGATAATGGTGACAAGAATGGTCAAGTGCAAAAATGGATACCGAAAATAAATAAATTGACTACTGCTATGTATGTCTATTCATCATGCTGGCAGCTTTTTGTTGATACTAGAGATAATCTATATTGTTCATTGCCTACTCATCACCAAGTTCTAAAAAACCCGTTGTATGACCGTGAGACGGCTGTGTCTATTGTTGCTGGAGCAGATAGTGAAGGATCTAGCTCGGATGCACTTTATGATCCTAAAGGTATTTTTGTTGATGCAAAGTTTAATTTATATGTAGCCGATTGTGGAAATAATCGAGTACAGAAATTTGAACCAGGTCAGTTAGATGGCATCACAGTTGCAGGTGATAGTTTGTCAAATCAAACAATTCAACTTAATTGTCCAAGTGGAATTGCATTGGATAGTCAGAAATATTTATTTATTGTGGACAGTAATAATCATCGTATTATTGGTCAAGGACGGTATGGTTTTCGATGTTTACTCGGTTGTTATGGGCAGGGTACTGATTCGACACAATTATCATTCCCATCGACTCTTAGTTTCGATCGTTTTGGCAATATGTATGTTTTAGATCAAGGAAATAAGCGAATTCAAACATTTCAATATTTAGAAAATACTTGTGGTATGTTTCTTAGAAAAACATATAAGATGGGTGAATCCATGGAGATCCAGCCACTTTTTGGAAAGGTTTTTTTTTCGATTTTTTTTCACTTCAAAATGCCGGTATGCTTTAGAAAACACTTTTGATGAAAAAAAAATTATGTGTTT